TTGTTGGTGGACAGTAAGTTCTTTTCAAAACTTCGTCCTTTTCATATTTCTGTTACTGAATTTTTGGTTCACTGACTTAGAAAATGAATTTTCTCTACTATCTTAGCTTATCTGCAACATTACTCTTTCCCAAATGCCTTATCTATTACTAACAAGTAACAACCTTATCTTAAGTTGTGCCTTTAATTACATTTTTTCTTTATAGTGTATATTTAAAATATGGCTGAAATATTAATAAAAAAAAAAACTAGTAATATTTTCTAGATTGTTGCAATTAGTAGATGAGACATTATTATATTGTGGAAGTATTAGACTTTTACTTTGTCTGTCTTAATTTACTTGCTCCATAACCATTTGCACATGATTTTATGTAAGTGAAAAAGTTGAGAGAGAAAAAATTAAGTACGATTATAAATGCAATGGAGCAAGTAAATTGGGGCACTATAAAAAGGAAATGAGGCAAATAAAATAGGACGAAGGCAATAGCATTTTGTTGAAACAAAATTTTGAAATGTACTCATAGTCTAGTATGATGGCTAATCTAGATTGGATCCGCTAGCATGCTTTTCTAATTTTTTAGAAAACGTGGATTGAAAAAAGATGTCAGATGCAATAAACTACAGTTTAGTGGTCAAATGAAGAAGCCTATATTGATGGCATGACAGAAGAGTGATCTGGACCACAATTCCACCAGTGACTTGATTATATGTGTTGAATAAAACCACTTGATGTATATGAGTTCAATTTGCAAATATAAAATTTCTCAAGTTGCTTAAAGTCTGGGGAACCAAAATCCTGAAACATGGTTGACAGAGTGTTTAGTTGAATAATTAATAAAATCAACTCACTAAATGTCATATGGCTTAAAAACAGTCCTAGTTGAATTCTGGGCTATGCCAGTGAGGTAGTGACTGAGGATGATGTATAGGAAGGGCTGATGGGACATAGATAATCTGAAACAACCGCGCCATAATCTTTTTACTAGACTGTGTATCTCTTATGACAGTATCTGTGATTCATTGATCCCATAAATAACATAAGAGCTAAATAATTTGATCAGAGTATGAATGATACATACCACATAGTTTCAGGTTATAATATTGCCTTTGTATAGGCATTGTGATGGATGGATAACATCATATGTAATGTTACCTCCAATTTCGAAGACCAAACAAAGAAATCAATTAGACATAATCACTCAAATTTAAAATAAAAAAAATAGCTGAGTTTGGATTATATACTTTAAGTTTGTCATGCTATACATGGCTTGATGATCTGTTTATATTCAGGAACAAGGTTGCTGCTTGTGCTAAGCACTATGTGGGTGATGGTGGAACTACAGATGGGATCAACGAAAACAACACGGTTATAGACTTTCATGGGTTGCTCAGCACTCACATGCCAGGCTACTACAACGCAATTATCAATGGTGTATCTACAGTCATGGTTTCTTACTCCAGCTGGAACAGTGTTAAGATGCATTCTAATTATAATCTCATTACTGGTTTCCTTAAAAACACACTGAAATTCAGGGTATTTTTTCTTTTCTCTAGCTAACCGATCAAACAAAAACTTCTTCCATGCATATTTCTGTTCAGATTTTAACTAGTTACTTGCTCTTGATTCTTAAATACGAACAATGGCAGGGATTTGTTATATCCGACTGGCAGGGCCTCGACAGGATTACTTCACCACCACATGCTGACTATCCAAAGTCTGTACTAGAGGGCATTCACGCCGGCATTGATATGGTTATAACTCCAGCTTTTAACTGAATTCTGCTATATACTCTGGCATTCTACGGCATCAAACCTGTCTATTATCTTAACTTACCATGCTCTAATACAACATTTCGTATGTAAACGCTGCAGATCATGGTTCCTTACAACTATACAGAATTCATTAGTAACCTAACCTCCCTTGTGAAGGATAATCAAATCCCAATGAGCAGAATTGATGATGCAGTACATAGAATTCTAAGAGTCAAGTTTCAAATGGGTTTATTTGAGTACCCATTGGCTGATAACAGCCATGTCCACCAGCTGGGAAGTCAGGTTTGTACTTCTAATAAGTTTTCATTCATTTGTTAGGGTCCACTGTACAATGAAATGTCAATTTATACGCTCATTCAATCACTGAATAAAACAGGAACACCGAGAAATAGCAAGGGAAGCAGTGAGGAAATCACTGGTGCTATTGAAGAACGGGCAGGAAAGTGATAAGCCAATGCTACCTCTTCCTAAGAAAGTGCCGAAGATACTTGTTGCTGGAAGCCATGCTGACAATCTGGGTAACCAATGTGGTGGATGGACAATTGAGTGGCAAGGACTCAGTGGAAACAACCTCACTGAAGGTAATATCTTTTGCACTCCACTGCCGATTTCTTTAATCACATTCCTGCAAGTCTACAGCCATAACATGTGCTTTGATTTTAGACCAAAGTTTCATAATAGTTCAACCATGTGGATGTAATAATTTTCTCCATGTTCCTTATTTTCGGTATATTTTTACTATATTTAGCGAGATTCAGGTACCCTATGCTTTTGACTTTGATATTTTAAGGTGATGACTTTGATGGGAGACTTTCACCTTCACTAAATAGAAAGATCCCTTGCTTATATATAATTTTTTATCTTTTTTTTTTACTAATAAAGTACAAATATGTTTATAAATGGATTTTTTTTGAGCGAAAACAAATCTAAGCTTTTTCAGCATTGAAGAAGTATTAATCACACACTAAGTTTTTAAATTTATTATTGATCAATCAGTGCACTCTATTAAGGTAAAAATTGATCAGGCAGTAGACTACAGTATCTTGGACAGTATAGTAGTTAATAGCGTGTTGATTGTTTATGCTTTCACTTGTGCGTTTTTGTGTATTTGAGTGTGCTGTATTACTCCTTGTTTCTTTGTAGTTTGATGGGCTTTTTTTGTCATGCAACTAATCGCAATTTTAATGAATATGATCAGGGACCACGATCCTTACAGCCATTAAGAGCACAGTTGATCCAAAGACAAAAGTAGTGTACCAAGAGAACCCTGATAGCAACTTTGTCAAGTCCAACAAATTCTCCTATGCCATAGTCGTGGTGGGTGAACCCCCTTATGCTGAGACATTCGGTGACAGCATGAATCTAACGATAGCTGACCCCGGCTACAGCACCATTAAAAATGTATGTGGGGCAGTGAAGTGTGTTGTCATTGTCATCTCAGGCAGGCCTGTTGTTATTGAGCCATATGTTTCCAAGATGAATGCCCTTGTAGCTGCTTGGCTACCAGGAACTGAGGGTCAAGGTGTTGCTGATGTTCTGTTTGGTGATTATGGTTTCACAGGGAAGAGCCCTAGAACTTGGTTTAAGAGTGTTGATCAACTCCCTATGAATGTAGGTGATCCTCATTATGACCCACTTTTCCCATTCGGATTCGGATTAACCACGAAGCCTAGCAAGGAATACTAGAATTCAGCTAGGGTAGCCTTAGGCCTTGATTTATATTCCTAGTGATCCATCTTATTGTTTACTGATTGAGTGATTGTTGTTGAGAATAATATACCCTAGTCAAGTAAATCTTCCATGTCACAACTCACAAGGGAAGCATGGCCTTTTTCTTAAATATGTCCTCACACTTCTATAAGTGTTAATTTTGTTCTATTTTACTGAAATTTTAGAGTGTCTGACTTTGATTTTAATATTTCACTTTCTACAACGTTGTTGAACCCCCTGTTTGACTTTGACTAATAATTTACCACAATAAAAGTGTGATTTCTCTAGATGAAAGAATGATAATTAAGAAAAATTATTCCTAATTTCCAGAATACAAATTACCAAAATTCTTATATGCGATGATTGGCGTGCCTCACCATTATTTAATAATATGATTGATTTAAATAGGGTTACTAACAATATGCTTTTAGAGTTGCATTACTAACCAAAAAGCTGATAAGCCATGGTTACTGATTCATATGAGGGAACAGACAAAGGCACATATGGGATAACTGATGGAACTATCAACATTGCATAAATGAGATTACTGATAAACAATGAACTTTCTCCTAATGAATCGACGGGATTGCTAATGAAGATTTTGAGGAATTACGAATGTCTGTTAATATAATACGAAGTAACACTTTCAGACCACATAAAACTTAACAATCTCGACTATAGGGGTATAGTTGGCATGTAACTTTAATGCAGCTTCTCCATACTGTACATACAAGCAGCCAGGGCATAGATATGACCAATTATCCTCTGAAAGTATGAATCTCAATGAGGACATGCTGATAACACCAATTCCGCGTCTTCTCAAACACTTGACATCATAATAGCAAGCTTCACCATGCTATCAATCAAATAAAAGAGGCATACTCACAGTATTATATCCAAGTATCCAGCTAAACAACAAATCACACTCCCAGTAGAATAGCATCTGTTCTTTCACACTTTTTACTTGCATCCTAAATGATTTTACTGCTTTAGCACTCTTGAAATCTAAATCAACTGTTGTTATTACGAGAACTTCATTGGACGTTGATTCTGGTGAATCCCGACCAAAGACTCAGCTTAAACTCTCTGTTTTAAGCCAAAGCTATGAAAAGAATTTAGAGTCTCAGTTTAATTAAATTGCTTTCAGGGAATAATATGTTCCAGTTTCAAATCCTAGCCAAATTTACAAAATCTTTATTACTGCATATGCATCTTAAGTTGAGCTAGTTTCAGCCCTCCATGCCACTGACAGCTATCATTTACTAGAAGAAAACAGGAGCTACTGCATAAATACTCCCATGCATCAGACACTCTTGCCTACAATCTTGAATGACATAAATAACCATTCCAATTTTCAGACAATGAAGCATAATAAAAATCAAACGTAATCAGAAAGATGACATTAATTGACTACTTCACTGCTATGACTAGATCCTGGTATCGCTTGGTTGGCTATGACAATTTTCATACATGCTGTTGTTAAGACTTTTCATGGTCCGTATTTGGGTTGAATAAGAATTTTAAAAAATAACAAAAACCTGATGAAAGCACAAAATCAGGGAGAGTCCTTCATCAGGCTAAGTATTCTTCTAATAAGAGTAAGTGTCCTCCCAAACTTAAAGCCAACAAATAACTTTTTTCAAAATGGGGTATTGAAATTACAGCATGCAATATAGCTCCATGACACATTTGTACAATCTTTGCTGAAATTCAGCAAAAGATTAACATTAAGCTGACATGAAACAAAAGAAAACCTAAAATGAGGATTACAGGTACTGTAAACTAGCCTAGTGAATCTGCTTATGCAACGGCAACAGGTACTGGTCCACTGGAATCTACAAGATCAACTTCTGGCGCCAAGACTGGAACCCTAGCATAGACCTCATCTTCCTTTGGTGGGAGGATAACAACAACATCAGGGATTGGCTTTTGAGGTCCAATCTTTCCCTTGGGATCCCAGTCAAGCATGATCTTAACCTTAATTCCGAGCACTCCCTGTTTTAAGCCAATACATTACCAAATTAGACATCAACAAAAAGACACACCACAAATATAAAAGATAACCCATACAAAAGTCATATTTTGCACATTAAGATTACCTGTCTAAGAAGCACGTGTCGAATAGCTGAGTCAATGTACTCAACAACTGGTTGACCAGAGGAAATCATATATCCATCCTTGAACTTCATGGACTTAGCACGCTGTGCCCTCAATTTCCCACTAACAATGACCTGTTCAAACAGCAAAAGGTAAATTACAAAGAACAGTCAATTGCAAACTATACAAGGTAAATCTAGGAGACTATTAACAGACCTCACAACCCTTGGCACCACTTTCCATGACAAATCTCAAAACACCATAACACGCCCTGAAAGAGACAATCACACACCCACCAGAAAAATTAGAATTAGGAAAAATTAAAGAGCCAGAAACTGTTGCATGTTTAAGGAGAGATTTATTCAAAAATGAGGTCTTATTTCATGAAGGGTATACAACAAGCAATTGTAGGAACCAAAAAAGACTACATCAGATGGGTTCACGCCAATTGTTTTACAGACATCATCAATAAAAACCAACACTGCAACACTTCCAAAGAATAAATCATCTAAAAGTATAAAAAATGAACAAAATCAAGGAAATTATAACCATATCTTGTGCCCTCACTAACAATACTACATGAAAACTAACATATCTCAGTAGGAGAATGAAAGAGAGGAGCTTCAATATAGTCAACTTCCGACACAAGATTGGTACAGATAGACCAATAAGCTTTGTAGAAGACATTAGATGAAAAGCATCATTTCCACATTCAAACAATAAACAAAACATAAAAGTTAGACATATCCTTTATGCACATAGCCAAAAGTTAATAAGCACATAGCCCTGTACATATTACTGGCAACAAGATAAACAAGCAATATCAATGATAGACTGTCACAATATTGAAATACAAATAATGAGCCAAAACATCATTCTTCTAAGATACAGAGTACTTTCTATTGATTTCAATTTTTAATTTCCTTTTATTGGAGGTATAAACACTAAATATACAGCATGACCTTATACAGACATTAGAAATCCATCTATCTTAACAACAAATCACAAATATTTAAAACAAAAACAGCTCACAATTTATGAATTATTCATACAAAATTAAAGCCAAAAACAGGTTATTAAGGCTGGCTTAATAGATGTGCCCTCTAGCAGGTTATACGTGAATAATCAACTTATCTCACGAGCATAATAGCATAGAGGATGGTTTTAATCTAGTCACCTTCCGACACAGAACAGGTACAGAGGAACCAATCTGCTTTATGGATGACAATCATATGTTCAATGAATGACATTAAAATGGACAATACCACATAAAAACAAGCTACAAGAAGACAGCATAACCAATGCACATATCACACAAAGCAAAACGTTTCACCATCCAAGGAAATGAGTTCACGTAAGAAATTAATCAGATTAACATCTAAAACTGCAAATTCAAACAAATGCAAACTAACCAAATTTGGCAGTGATATTGTCATTAAACAAACAGAAACTCAAATGCAAACTAACCAAATTTGGCAGCAACATTGTCATTAAACAAACAGAAACTCAACAAAAAGAAAGCATCAGAATTACATATTTCTGACACACACATTCAAGGCTACATATATTTAGCAAATATGTTAATCAACCCAGTAACAAATAAATTCAATACAAAACTTCTATACAACAATTTAAAATCGGGAAAATTCAAGATAAATCAAATTCCATTTCATAAGCACATTTTGCAGGATCTCAGCATGAAACAAGCTACATAATTATTCATTTTTCCCTAAATAACAATCAAACAATACATTAATAATCAATGCTCCACTGTATAAGAAACACTAAAGTTGATAACTTTGGAATTTGGACGATAACTTAAACGAATCAAAACTAAAATTCAATGGAAAAAAAAAAAGGTTGAAACATTTTATATACCTTCTGACAGCAAGACCACCGAGAAGCTTGTAACGAAGAGACTCGCACTGAGCAATAGCGCAAAGACCCCTGTTGTTTACCTTCTCAGCATACAATTCAACAGTGTTTTCTGGAAACTTGAACCTCTTCTGAACAACCGAGGTCAGCTCCCTAATCCTTCTTCCCTTCTCACCTAATCCAATCCAAATCCCAAATCAAAATCGCAAGAACACAAAAAAGGTGAAATGAAAAAACCCAAAAAAAAAAGGGGAAAATTAGAATTACCAAGAACATTTTGGGTACGAGTAGCCCTAATGATGATCTCAGTACGCATAGGAGTAACCCTAACTTCGACACCAGAGTAACCATCTTCAGCAAGCTCTCGAGTGAAAACTTCGTTGAGTTCAGCGTAGAAGACACCATCAGCGACGAACTTTCGCTTCTTGCTCATCTGGGTCGCCATGATTGCAGGATCTCCGAGGAGAGAGAAAGAGAGAGAGTGAGGCGGAAATGATATAACTCTACAAATCTAAAACCCTAATTTTGGTCGACGGAAATGAAGTGAGGTTGATGGAGAAATTTAGATCTTGTGGTTATGGACTTTGAGGGGTGTTATAAATATTAGGGTTTTATGAGGTTATTGGAAGGTTTTTTTTTTTTTTTTTTTTGTTAAATTAATTAATTAATTTATTTATTTATTATTATTATTGTTATTATTATTATTATCATCTCAAAAACAGACAAAGTCATACAACCTACAACAAATTAGTGGGAAGCCGAGATACAATCTGGGCCCCCACTCCTCTAGCTATAGCAAAATCTACCCTAGTGAAGATATAAGCTGCAGCACGAGCCCCAATGTCTTGCGTCGTCGAGAACCTCTGAACCCGCTTCAGCAACACGACAGCCTCCTTCTCCAATTCCCCAAGCGAAGAAAAGGAGATGGGAATGAAACCATACCCCATCAGCCGACAACTAGCTTCATACTTCATTCGCTTCCGATGAGCCGCTTCAGCCACAACCCGTCCAGGAACAAAGTCAGAAAGCACTGTCTGTGTCTATGGAGAAGACTCTGTTAAGTTCACACAAACATCGCGACCACAATCCCAAGAATAAAGTAACACATCAGCAGGTCTAAGGGCCCCGTCACTCCCTCCAGACAACCCTATGTCAACCTCCTTTCTTGCTGAGATCTCAGATCTGTAGCAGATATCAACAAGGGTATCCCGGACAATATTATGCCGATGTTTAATACCGACAAGACCAGCACACGACACCGCGTGATCACCGAAAATATCCCCAGGAAAAACCCGAGAACAAGCAGAGCACGGCGTCGAGATAGAGAACAATGAAACACCCATCTTGTAGCACAACACACATCGGTAGGTCTTTGGGTTCATCGTCTAACCCAACCCAGAAATAGGGACTGCCCGAAGCCAAGCAGAGGTGTGATCTCCCTGTTGCGATTTCCACAATGCTGATTGCCGAGGAGTCAAAGAATAGGCGGATTCTGCAGAAGCGGTAACCTTTGTGAAATACATATTTGCCAATTTCTTCATGAGTTTAGGGGCAGCGACCTCACTAGGATTACTCATAATGTCAGGCTCCACTATTCCATTAAACAAACTCAACGCATCTCCAAAGGCTCGTCCAAGACCAACAACACCAGCGTGTCGTAATAGTTGTGTCTACAACCCAGCAGACTGTAACCGGGAAGCAAGAAAAGCATAATGTCGAACATCACCTGCGAAATAAACACCAAGACCGCCATTAGCAAAAGGCAAGGTGGCAAGCCGCCACTGCCAATCGCCAAACCCAGGCCCTAAAGCAGTAACAATACGCTCCAATGAAGATCTAAGAGCCCCATCGAATGTGCGTTGAGCCGTCTCAAAGGTACTAGGAGGACAAGTATGCAATGCAAAGTATAGCTTAGAAACTCCGGTACAAGCCCTGAGCAACAACAGCTCGCACTGAGGATCATCTAGCTTAGCAACCCTATCCATAAGCGCAATGGTCTTGGTCACCCTCTGCATCACAAGCTCACCTCCAAAACCGGAATCGGAACTAACGGGACCACCAAGCAGCTTAACACCACGCAAGGGTCGAGCAATATTAGGCGGAAAGACACCCACAAGCCTGCTTCGAGGGTCTTCTGTAGGCCAGAAAACTTCAGTTTTTTCCACGTTAAGATGTAACCCAAAACGAGGCCCGTCCTCCATAATCAATTGCAGAACCTTCCCTACCACCAACGTGTCACCAATCACAGTACCGTCATCCAAATACCAGGCCTGAAGACATACATCAAAAGTGTCTCTGATCTTACACACTAGGGGCTGTAAAACCAAAGCAAATAGCAAGGGACCAAGGGGATCACCCTGCTGCACTCCCTGAGATGACCATAAGGTGTGGTCCCCGTAATACAATCTAGCTGGATTAGAGTAGCAGAACTCTACCCAGCGCGAAAGGCCTGGACAACGACGACGAACCTCACGTAACATGACCGCACGATCAACTAGATTGAAGGCATTTTGAAAATCCACCAATAACATAGAAAAACCCACATCGGAACCACGATCCTCAATCAACCGATTCACAGCATGAAGAATCGCCTCACCTCCCGAAGAAACTCCAACACCAAATTGGAGACCATCAAAGTAGCTTCCTAAAGACTGACCAACCATAACAGCACCGACCTTCGAAACCAGACGCCGCCAAACAGTACCCACAGCTATAGGACGAATACCACCACCAGGCTTGACAAGTGGTGTAAGAGGAGCACTAGCAATATACCCTTTTAGCTCCATAGGAAAGAGATTAACCACCCCAGAAATAGAGTCCACTAACTCATCCGATACAACCACAGCAGCACCACTCAAGCAATCCATAAGGTGCTGAGCACGTAAACCGTCCCTACCACATGATGTGCCACGTGGAAAACTCTTAATCCGATCCAAAACAACATCAGAAGTAGTAACGAGATGAAGGCCATCAACAGGTATATCAGGCAAGGATGGAGCTGGAGAAGTAGGGTGTTTAGACTGTAAATCCGCGACAGTATCATCATCATCATCATCATCATCATCATTATTATTATTATTATTATTATTATTATTATTTTTAGAAAGGAAACTAACAAACAAATTAAAAGCGAAAACAAAGTAAATCACGACGAAGAGCCGCTCCCGCTAAGGCATGTGCCGAGGAGACCATCAAATGAGAAACCTTCTTGATCTAACATACCTGTAAAGAAGAAATAGTATCCCTAATCTCCTTAATCAGCCAAATAATAGAGATATCTTGGTGACCTTGCCCAAACAGAAGAGTAGGAATAACAACACAATCAGTAACTAACAACACACGAGCAAAACCCTGTTGCTGAACATGACGAATCCCAAACAAACAAGCCTTTAATTCCGACTGAAATAATAGAAACCTACGCACCCCCATCAAAGGCACCAGTACACTGAGAGGAACACATGTCCCTAAATATCCAACCTGCACCTGCCCTATGAGTATTTCGTTTCCAAGCACCATCAAAAAGTAGGCAAATATCACAAACAGAATCCAAGTCCCCTTGAAGACAGCGAACCACCAAAGGACAAGGAAACCCCGGAGGAGCAAACGGCCGTAAAGAAGCAACCAAAAGACGAGCAGTTCGACTTCGTTCTGCCCAACTCTTAGTTAGGGCAAAGATAGAACGAGGAGAATAAACCTTCGATCAAAAGCAGAAGTTATTCTGAGCTAACCAAATGGCCCAACATAAACTAAAGATAAAGACTAATCCTTCTCAGTCCCTAGAACCCGAAAATCGCAATATAAGGTCAGCAAACCAAACTTCCAATGAAAACGTATACGAGGTATCAACCACAAGGGCCCAAGGATTAGAAGACCATAACAGTTTCGTGAATCCGCAATCCCGGAATAAATGCATTGTTGTTTCCACAGACTGCTGACAAAATACACAGCCCAGATGAACAGGGATCCCTCTTAAACCAAGTAAGGCAGATGTAGCCAACGCATTATGGACAAGTTTCCAAGCAAAAATCTTCCATTTAGGAAGAATCAGAAGACCCCAAAGACGCTTCCACCAAGACAAGGAAGGCACCAAAGGAGAAGAAGCAGTATTTGACAATTGGGAAACTAACCAATAGTAAGCAGACTTAGTGAAAAAGGAACCATCCCTAGTGAATTTCCAGTAAACAAAATCGCCAATCTTCTGCTTCGGCCTTTCCAAACCCAAAATAATATGTGCAGTAGAATCCGGAAATAAGGTTATAACCAGAGATGAATTCCAATTACCAGAATTCACATCCAGTAATTCAGAAACAAAAGAGGGCTTCTCCCGTACAAAAGTCGAATCCTTAAAGGCAACATTGACTCCAGGCAACCAATCATCACAAAGAATATTAACCCGTACACCTGACCCAACCTTCTAAGCAATACCCCGAGATAAAACTTTCCTGCCTTCCAACAAACTACGACTTCCCCAAGAAGGTCAAGTACCAGAAATGGCCGGAGACGTCAAAAGCAATGAAGGGTATCTTGCCTTAAAAACTCTAGAAATTAAAAGTTGGGGGTGATGAATAAGACGCCAAGTTTGATTAGCCAACAAAGTGAGCTGAGGTTAAAACTGCGGAAATGGCGTAAACCAAGACCCCCTAAACCTTTAGGCAAATGAATGGCAATTGAAAAAGACAAAGCTATGCCTTTAGATGACTCCCCAGATTTCCACCAAAATCTCGTAAGTAAAGCATCAATTCGTTCACAAGTAGTAGAGGGCACCTTAAAAACTGAAAGAACACGATTAAAGGAAGCCACCAACTATTCCATTACTTCTCATTTATGTGGATCGTTGTCACATTTGTTTGGTTATTTAATAGTAACACTTGTTTTGGAGTTTTAAATAATTTACTTCAGTTTTTTATTTTGAATAGGAATGACAACAAATTGGATTCGGAGTAGATAAGGCTAAATTCATATTCGATTCGCTTAATAATCAAACCTTGGACTCACATTTGAATTCAAATCCATTTGGTCCGAGTATGAGTCCAAACCAACTCATCTTTTTAGCAATTGAATCCAGTCCGTTTGTTGGAAAAATCCGATTAATCCATTTCATTTGCGTGCTATACTTATAATTGCTTGTATTGGTTTTTATTAAATTTCATTTCTTACATCATATTATTGGTCGACTTGGACACGGAAATGGGTTATGCGAAAGGTCCAAGTCTGATTTGAATTGAACTTGGATTGATTTTAAATTTGATCTTTATTAAGTTGTAAAAAAAATATAAATAAATAAATTTAGCCCAATAAAATAGGCCACCCAATAATTAATGGACCAAATAAAAATGAAAAAGCCAGGTGTTAAAATGGGCCTGTGGAAGGGTTAGGGTTTTAAATGCTTTAAAACATCAGGTTATGTTTTTCTCACTCCATTCTACTCTTTGCGCTTTCGACTACCCCATCTTTTCTCTGCAACTTTCAGGTGTTTCCCTCTCCTCTTCTCAATCTTATTTCTATTTTTCATGATTTTGATTTTAATACGTTTGTTCTTCTTTTTTGTATGATTTATTATACATGTTTATTAGTTGTTTGTTTAA